GAGAGAGAGAGAGAGGAAATAGTACGGAAAATCAAAAAAGAAGCAATAAGTAAACTTTCGGTTACAAACTGAAGAGCTTTAAAAAAGTTCCTTTCTTCTTCTAACAATAAAATGAAGGATTAAAAATGATGGAAATTTTAAGGATTTTATTTGCGAGAAGAAGAATGGAAAGCATTTCACAATATGATTAATTATTATGAACATTTTTCTTTCCCTCTTTTTCTCTCTCTCGTTCCTTCCAATGACAAATTCAAAATTCATTTCTTGCATGGGATTATGAATCGAAAAATTTGATCCTACCAACTCCTTAAAAGAATATTCCTGCTGCTCATCCTTCTTCCAACATCTTTTATTTGTCTCATTTCTCTTAAATTTCATAAATTTCCTTACAATCATAAGTAAAACTTTTGTCTTTTAAAAGTATAATTTAACAACAAATTCCAAGGCCCATAACTATTTCTGGGCTTTTTTTTTCCATCCAAATGCATAATTTTCCACAAAACATGACATTCATATCATTTATAGGTATACTTGAAAACATATCTTCTAAAGAACTAATTATAATGGATTGTATGAAATAGCTTAAGTGTAAAAGACTTCAATCATTCATTTATGCTTTTCCTTTGCACATAAAATTTTTGCCTAAAATTGAATTACCTTTTGGTTGTTTTCCTTTAAATTTCTTTTTTTCTTTGATGTCATTTATGAATTCATTCAATTCATGAAAATTTCCATTTTATTCGAATTCATTTGTTAAAGTCTTTCATAAGAATTCATAAATTTCCCATTGACCTCATCATCATCAATAATAATATAGCAATCCTTGTGAAGGTCAATACTTTTACTACAAGTAGTAGTGGTTCTGATCGTAAAATTTATCGTGATATCTTGATCTTGTCATTTAGCACTTGATCAGGAATTAAATTGTTATCTTTTTCTTTCTTATCAAATGTTTCGAGAAATATTTGATAAATTGGAAATAATTAATATTAGCAAAGGACAAAAGTAAATTTGATATTATAATTAAATTCGAAATTGTAATTAAAATTACATAATTTCTTCATATACCCCGAAAAGGTAAGCAATGGGTAATAGTTTGGTAACACTGGGAAAAAATTTTTCGAAAATTTTAATTGAGCTTGGAAAATGATGTTATTTATTGGCATATTATGACAATATAGTTTAAGTCTTAATTAATTTCATCTGCCTTAACGACCAAGTATTTCTTACTTATAAATATTCGCAGTAAGAATTTTCTGCTTATATATATCAAGTTAGCCAATTTTATCAGTTGGATCGATAATAGTGAAAAAAGTTTCGACTCATGAAATATAAAGTTTCTCGAGAATTGAAAAAGACTGGAAATGCTAGAGGCACTTATAATTTATGATACTTTTTTAATTTCTAAAAATGGTTAGAAATGCAATTAAAATCTTAAGCACCAATTGTGTTTCCACTTTTGTACAGATGATAATTAAAACGAAGAAAGTGTTTATTGGTGGCTTATCAGCAACTTCAACTCTGGAAGATATGAAAAATTATTTTGAACAATATGGAAAGGTTAGTAATATCTCGCATGCGTTGAAAATGTGTACCGGAATTCGAATATGAGACACAAAATTGAATTAGAAATTGAAGGAATTTCATCCGATCAGATGATACGATATATTTATCAGAGATTATCTATTTAGATGAAGTATTGTAAAAAAAATAACTGCTTAGCATTTTTATTTTCATGTTGACCTTAACTTTTAAGGTTGAAGATGCGATGTTGATGTTTGATAAGACAACTCAACGTCATCGAGGTCTAACTTTTCCATTATCATTTTGTTCAAAATACTCTGTCACAAATTTCTTGAGTTCCAAGGAGAAAAAAGGAATGAACAGCTGTTAACGCATAATATTATTGCTCTCACAATTAAAGATATTTGAAATTTTGCTGAAACTTATATAAAAGAAACCACTCAAAAAATTAAGATAAATAAGGGGTAAATGAAACATTTATTTCTTTTTTCACCAGAAAATGTCTTCAACTTTTTGCAGGATTTGGTTTTATAACATTTGATAATGATGATGTTAGTGATAAGGTGTGTGAAATTCATTTCCATGAAATTAACGGTAAAATGGTGGAATGCAAGAAAGCTCAACCAAAAGAAGTAAGCATAATAGAATATTCATTCAACTTGAAATCTTCATTCTTTCAATATTCTTGTTGGAAATAATAATAATAATAA